CTCCCCCGTCCTCCACACCCCCACTTCCCACTTCAAGGCTGATTTTCTTGGGATTAATAAAGTCCCCAGCTTCTGAGAAATCCCAGAGGCAGAAAACCAAAAATAGGAAGCAGTTAAGTTTGAGGTGAAATATTGATAGCATTGAAGACTCAGTAAAAATTGAACACCATGGCTTCAGCTGAAAAGTAAAGCAGGTAGGGTTCATGATACAAGGTACCATTAGACTAGTTGAATGAAAGTCCCTATAAAGTCAGTAACTGAGCAAATAACTTGGAAAACTGGAGGTGTTCTTTGACCACATGAAAGTTACATATGGCCTCTGATCTGATCTGATTAATCATTAGTAAATGCAGGTGAGAATACACACCTTGTAGGGTTACTGTTAGAATTAAAATGAGCACTTTCTATGTAAAGTGATTAGCACAGACCATTTAAAAAGACACATGGAACAGAAGCTAGTTTATGATGGCTGATATCTATTGAAATATTGGTAATGCTTATAATTAACTATCTCCATTGTGGGTGATAATGTTTCACTTCAAACTCTAAAAGGGTTTCACTACTTTCTAACAAGAATGTGATATTTTGAATGCCAAAGAATTGCAATTTTTTTGGAAGGACATTAGCTTTTGTTGTAGTTTTGATTTAGTTTCATCAAATAATAGGTATTGGAAACATTTTAAATGAAATCTAATTCCCAATTCTCCTCTTTCCTTTGGTTGGGATTGCATTTAAGTTTTCATCAGAAAAGAATGATTTATTGTATTTTTCAAAGAAATCTCCAGAGATGTTCTTTTGGTTTTGTTTTTGAATCTTTTTTGCTTTTGAACTTATCCAAACACTAAGAAACAATCTAAATGCTTCTACTCCCTAACAACCTCTGATGTCAAATAAATTTTCTTTAATTCTAGCTTAAATCTTTAATGCTGTAGTTTTAATTTTACTCATTTTCTTCTCAATGGAGAAAAAAGGAGCAGCTGGTTACCATTGTCAACTTTCTTTTGTCTGAGGTTGATTAAGTATGCAACACTTGAGTATCTTTTTTTCCTCTGTCTAGATATAGAAGTCCCTCTGCTTTTTTTTTTTTCAAACAATAAAAGAATTTGCAGTGAGAGAAGCTTTAGAGCTCACCTAGTCCCAGCACTTCACCTGATAAATTTATATTAGTTAAAATATTAGTTTTGTTGTCTAGCATTTCTTTTGCATTCCTTGTGGTGAATTACCCAATGTGTCCTTTGCTCAACTAACACTTGGGGTATTATTCTTTTCCAATGAATGATAAAATTTCTTCGCATATTAATGATGTTAACTATTATGCCACCACAATACTTTCCCCCATTTTGTGATTTGCCTTTTAGTTTAGTTTATAATATTTTTGTGTAACAAGTTTACAATTAATGCTTTGTGTATATATACATGTTATATACTTTCAAATATATATTTATATTATATATTTATATTTTAAACTTTTATGTATAAATTTTTTCTATTATGAATTTCTTCTTTTGGTTCCATAGAGTCACCTTTCTCATCATGAGCCCTGAGCTATATTCAATTACACTATCTTTTGTTCCTTTATTATTTTAATTTTTAAGTGAATGCTCTAACCTACCCAAAAGTACTTAAATGCAAGATTGAGCAATTTTTCCTAATAAAGTCCATGTTGTTTATTATGCTATATTGCTTCAGTTTGTTGCAATATTTCATATCATGAGTTTGATTAATTTACTGCTACTCAACTGTAGGCACTTTTGCCCTCTGTGACAGTTTGGCAATATCTGAGGACATTTGTATTTGTCAGGACTGAAGGTAGAGGTGGTGTGGGAAAGATTGGCTACTAGTTGCCTGTGAGTATGGTGCTCAACATGTAATGTGAAGGACTATGCTGGCAACAAATAATTGGCAGTAATGCTGAGATTAAGGGCCCTAATCTTGCCCAGAGGGAGGAAGGGAGGCAAGAGTAGAGAAAAAGAGACAGAGAGATCCACCCATCCATTGGGTACCATTCTTCTCAGTTACATCAGCTGCATACTAGCCAGCAGTGATATACTTGACACATATGTCTATGTCCTACTCTAAGGGGCACTGTAAGAGAGTTTCCAATTTCTTTTTCAGAAATCAAGATATACTATATTTTGTATTATTTCTTGACAATTTATTTATTTTATTTATTGAGGTAACATTGATCTACAACTTTGCTTGTGCTTTAGAGGTAGTAGGATCTCTCCCTTCAAGTGCTGATACCACACCACACCCCCTACCAGAGCACTTATAGTCCTTCATTATATTCCATTGAGCTCCCTCACCACTATTCTCTCCCTCCCTCTCTCACTTCCCCTCTGGTAGGCTTCTATAGTTAGATTTTAGGGTTTGTTATTGGTTTGGCTTTATTTTGTTTTTTTTTCTATATTCCACAGATAAGTGAAACCATCCAGCGTTTGTCTTCCTCCTTCTGACTTATTTCGCTTACCATAATCCACTCCAGTTCCATCCATGTTATCACAAATGGCAAGAGTTTATCTTTATTAATGACTGCATAGTATTCTATGATATTACTTGATTCTTTTTAAACACAAATGAGCTTAACAATTTTAGAGCACAAATTCTAAACCCTACTTACTGGGTTGAGTCATGATACTGCCTCTTATAACTTAAGTGAATTTAGGCAAGTTATCCTCTCTCTTTTCAGTTCTTTTGTCTGTAAACTGAGAGTAATAAACCTTTATTCTTAATTGTCATAGAATTACAAGATGCTAAAAGCAGTATTGGTATATAGTAAACATTATAGAAGGGTTTAATAACAATAATAATAAAGTAAATGACTTTTTTAATGAACCTTAATTTGGTTGGTTTGTTTTTTAAATGAGGTAACATTGTTTTACAATATTGTGTATGATTCAGCACATGAACCTTATTTGACCACAGTGACCTCTTTATATTTTATATTAAAAATTTTCTTTTTAAATACATTGCAGATTTTTCAGTGATCAATTTGAAGAACAAGTTTCTTCCTTAGCCATCTTTACATCTCTTATCCTCTTGCCATGCAACACAAACCCCATCAGAATATATCGACTCTGTTCTCTGTATTATTATTATTATTATTATTTAACTTTTATTACCACTGTCAAGCATGTATATTTCCTTATAGGCACTTTAATATGTAGACTTGCTTATTTTTTATGTCTATGAGAACCAATAATTTTAAATCCTTTATTCATTTTTAGTTACATTCTGAATGTTAGGGATATGCATGGAGTTACATTTGTCTTCCTGTGTCAAAAATTACAGTATATTCTATTAACTGTGCTGAGCACATTTTGTGTCAACATTTAGACACTGTGTCGCTTTGATCCCTTTATTAGATACTTTCTTCCACATATTTCCTAAACTCTTAATTTCTGTCATATATGACATCCTCTAAATAAGCACTATTTATTAGAATTTTCTGTGACATGAAGATATTCTATTCTTCACGTTTCAATACAGTAGGCACTGTTGAGCACTTGAAATTTGTTTAGGGCAATTGAAGAACTGAGTTTTAAAATGTATTTAAATAGTCACTTGTGGCCAGTAGCTATTATATTGGACAACACAGCTCCAGAATATCTCTTCATCTTTCCAATTTCAGCTGAAAATATTCAGCTTCATTTAACTTGAACTTATTTCACTGAATGTGCTTAGAGGCACTTTGTTTATTCTATATATGTAGTTCGAATATTCTAGTAACCCAGTTATTTTTACTTCATTTCCTGTGTTTTCAGGAAAGTAATTGTATGTGTAGCCTTAGAAGATTGAGAATGAGCATGTGTGTTTGTAAAGTGTTTAATGTATTATATCTTAAAATCAAGGGTTTGCTTTCCTTGAAATTTTTTACAAATAAAAACAATAATGTTGAATGTACAAAAAAATGATGAGCAACAGGCAATATAAATAAGAGTGGCACAAGTCAGGGATGTTTACTACTACTATTATTACTGCTGTTGCTACTGCTACTACTATCTCAGAGACACACAGTGGTGTATGATAGCCCTTATTTTTATTTTAAACACTTTATTGATTATATAGATTATGTGTATTTATTGTTTTAAAAAATTGAAAAACACTGAAGATTATAATGAAGAAAAATAATTATAATTACAGGATGCTTTGATTAGTCACTTTCATTCTTCTTGTTTGTATCCTGTTATTGTTTCTGAGACCCACAGGCAGATAAATATATAGGTAAATAAGTATATAGATAAATAAACAAAGCTTATAAAATTTTTTGAATTATATATAGATATGTAGGGTTTTACCACTAAATGTATAGACCTTTCAGATGGCATTTAACAAAAATATATGTCACTAGGGTTATGTGTCACCCACAATGGTATTAGTGGCTATTTTGAATATCTGTAACTTTAATGTGACAAAAAAGATATTGGTTAACACTTATTCATTGTATTGTCTATTTGTATTTGCATCCTGCTTTTTACCTCAAGAGAATTTTCCTATAGTATAAAATAAAATCCATATATTTTAATGCCTATATCATAGTCATCATATACCATAATTTAATTAATTCCCTGTTATTGGACATTTAGGATTTTTTTTTACTACTATAGATAGCATTGCACTCTACATTAATGCCTGAAACTTTTCATCTCTCACTATTTCCTTAGATGTGAAATCAGCTAACCAATTGAATTTTGATAGATATTTAAGATCCTTGATAATATATTGCCAATTTTTCCTCTAGAAAGTTTTTTTTGTTTATAGGAAAACAACAGATAATCCTTATTCTCTGTCTACCCTTTACTCCTTTTATGTAGTCTTTCTTTTTGAGCGTTTAAGCTTCTCTTTGATTTTAGAACCCAAAATTATTTTTAAATAAATGTTTCTTTAAACAGAATCAACAAAGCAAAACATTCTAACCCAAACATTCTAACTCTCTTATTTTTCCTTTGCAAAGGTTTTCAGATGTGACATTTTTCATTATATATTGTGTCTTTCTCTAGGGTGAACAAGGAATAAAAGGAGATCCAGGTCTAACTGGCATCAATGGACAAGATGTAAGCTAAGCTCTACTTTTTTCTATTGTTCTGTTTACATTTTGTCATTAGGTTATCTAATACCGTTAAGATTTGACTGTCCTTGGAAGAACTAGCCACAAGTAAAGCAAAATCAAGATTCAAGGCAGTTTTGACATGACTCTGGAGGCCCAGTGTTTGTTTCATTATGGGTAGTTCCTTGGCTCTATGCATTTCGTACATGCACTTAACCTTCCTACTTGCACTTAACTTTCACAGCCCCTTCTTCTTTGCTTTTCCTGTTAGTGTGTGACAAGGGAATGCTTAGAGACCCCAAGCTGTTAAGGGGTGCATGCTCTAAGAGGGATCCAGCCATCTTCCATACAAAGGCAAAGTAAGCAGACTCCTAGTGTGAAAGATCTTTCATAAAATTCAATATCATAGAGGCATAAGAGAAGAAAGGGTATTATTAACAGTAGTTTCCCAATAAAACCTATTCCCATGTGGTCAAAGGCCCCGCCAAACAGGGTCTACTCAAAGTGGGCCGACTGAGGCCCAAAAACTTTCCACAAGTCTAAGGTACCCTCTGACAGGGAAGCACAAGAAAGGAGTTAGGCAGGTCTGAGACAAAAGGAGTATCATCATAACACAAACGGCCATCTGTTTCTGCCAACGACAGCCTTCCAAGTGTCTCTTACCCACATCTCTCTTTTAAGTATCTCTATATGTTTCTCCTTTATGGATCTCCTTTCAGGTCTCCTCAAGTGTCTGGATGCAAATAAAACCCAGAGAAGCAAAGAGACCCAAGAGTCTACTTGTCTTCTATGTTATATAGCTTCCCCTGGCCACTCAGATCTTGTCCTTAGTTCCCAGTACTTCTCCCACTCAGGAGTCAGGTTCATGGCAAACTGACAATTATATTCCAAGCAGCTGCATGCATGTGGGGGTGGGAAAAACTACCAGTTCAGTGTGCAATGCAGTAATGAAAAGAGAAGAAGGGAAGAGGAAATGTGTATCTGTATTGGTCACTCTCCTCTGTGCCAGTTCTTCAGCCTCAGAAAGACTCTTGCCAATAATACCCTCAAGTTCTGCATCTTCTCCCCTTCCCTTTAGGGAAGTAATACTTCGAATCTTATGATGAAATTTCCTCTTACGGTGAAAATGCAAATCTGGAGTATCCTCTTTGTATAGGTCATCAAACCCAAAATTTGATTGATTCACTAACTTTACTAGGGAAAGTGCCCATAATGAGAATGATTTTTTTCTAGTTTCCTTTTATCACTTGCATATATATGTTTTAGCAAGATCCTGAAGTACCACATTATTTATATTATCTTTAAAAGAATAAGAAGGCTAAATTTGCTTCCCTAATGCCCTGTTTATGTTATAAAACCCATCTTGGATGCAGTAGATTCTTACATGGGTAGTGGAAGCTGATTATCAGTCCTTGAGGCACGTGGATGAGGTAAGATAAATACTTGGGGAGATCTGCTAAAAGTGGAAAAATCCTAGGAGTTCACCTGGTAGTTAACACTGGCATAGAGCCTGACCTCCCATAATTTTACTCTTCCTTACTTCCTAAGAAACCCCATTCAGATCATTAATATGACCCTCACTCTTGGTCCTCTCCCCTTTGAAGTGATTTTACTATACCAGAGAATGTAACTGTAGAAGTCTTTATATCTTCTTACCTCCTTACATCAGGACACTAAATGTCATGACCCACGGCCCATACATTTAGATAGAGCATCTGATTTATCTCCCTACCCCTGTCATTGACGGTACCTGGTAGGATAAGAGTTCTGGAGTGGAAAACAAAGGCCTAGTTTGTGTCCCACTTCTATTACTAACTGAGAAAATCATTTCTCAGAGTTTATAAAGTGACAATCTTAGAGTATGTTCTAAGGTCCCCATCATTATAATGTGCTATGATTTTATACAAAGACATTGCTAAGATGACAATCTCAAAAAACATGATGAAATTTAGTATTTGGGTGGTGGTGTTTTTTGTTTTTTAGTTCCTGCTACATTTAAGGCACTGTGGAGAAAAAAAAATTGAAATACAGCTGGAGTCAGAGTACAGATGTTTGTCTTCCTGAACAGAGTGGGGTGTGGCTCAAAATGTGTTTAAATGAAAATTATTTTTATATTCTGTGCCTTTGCCTGTGTCTTTTGTTCTTTTTGTTACATTCTTTTTTAAAACAAAGGGTCATTTCTTGGAATTCCAAGTACTTAGTAGGTATTGGAGTAAGTTCTTGATAACTGTTTGCTAAGTACTAATTTACAAAACTGAGTTTACTACAGTAGTCTAAGATATAAGTAATTAAAGCCCAACCTAAGATAACCAGAATGGGAAGGAGGGCACAGATAAATTACAGAAGTAAAATATATGCAGTTTGGCTCTTAATTGCTATAAAAACTCAAAAATAGTCTATGATTTTGACCATTAATTTAGAGAAGGATATTTTCTTGTCAGAAATATATGCGTGATGAGAGAGATTAACAATAGTTTTGAAAACAATAACCAGTCTTCTAATAAGTTGGCATCCTAAGATTAAAAAAACAAAACAAACAATTTTGAAAGTTCCTAAATATATGCTAGAATTGAAATAGAGAGGATTTTTCCAAACACTTGAATAAACTGGGAAGGGTATTTGAGCAGTTGGAACCTGATGTATATTCACATTGGTTTAAAAATTGGGACATTTTCCTTATGTTGTCTAAAAGTACAATGATTTGGATTTTTAGAATTAATCCACTGATGTACACAGATATGCCCAAACACTCTGGCATTCCCTCTGTGAGTTCCAAATCTGAATAAGACCAATGTGATGAAAGATCCCACAGCCCAGTGAGCAGTGTGACCTTTCCTTTTGGAGAATTATCTGGGAAGAGTCTTTCACACACCCCCAGTCACAGGGGTGTCATTTCTTTAGCATCATCATTGTTTAATGTAGCTCATTAGGTACATCATAAAGCATGACAAAGCACATTAACTAACTTTTCTCACTTGGTCACTTAGTTAATATGTAGATAGTACTATTTTCCTTGCCTTAATTTTGCCAAAGCTATGCAGGAGTCACCACTAAGGAGAAAAAAGGAAAAGTAATGAAGGTTCTCCTCCTTCCCCTTTGCTGTCACTAAAAGTGAAGAATCAAATGCTCTGTTACTATTATATCACTTGTAGTGGTGGTGTCAAAATTGTGCTGTTGTTCATAAACTGTTTTCATGAGGAATTTGAAATTGGGTCCTGACCCTTGCTGTACAGACTAGCTAGAACAGGGGTGATACCATTCCTGTATTCAGGGGTAGGCAGTAGGGGCTTGGGAAATTCAGCAATGCCCTTTTAGAAAGTGGTAAAATCAGCTTCTAACCCTACATGTTTGACTGAAGAGTCTCTTATTTTTCCACTAAGTCATGCCACACTTGTCATTGCCTGTTTTTCAATGCTGAAATAAACGGGCTCTGCAAACTAAAATCATTTAGCATTTATGACAGTTCATTCTGACTCTCAATAAGCACAAGTACACATTCTTAGAGAATGAAGGGTATTATAATAGTTATTTCAATTTGAATTAAAGTCAAGCTAGGATGGGGATTATAACTTCAGAAACATTCTGTTAGAATGCATATAGGTAATAAACTCAAAAGGCCAGCTCATGCCAGCTACTCTCAAAGTCAGAGAAATTAAAAAATCAAATATTCTACTAAATGAATTCAAAATCCGTATAGCTTTTATTCTTGCATGATATGTACATATCTTGCTGCAAATGTATATTTTAATAAATTTTCTTCTGTGCCAGCTTTCCTACAAAATGGGTATTTTTGCTTTAGAGTATGGAAACCCTCTCAGTGGGGCACTATTGGAATTTGAGGCAAGACAATTATTTGCCATGTGAGACTGTCTTGCAAGAGCAGAATGCTTAATATCCTGTAGGCCCAGCAACTAAATGCTAGAAGCAGCTCTTAGTCATTGGGACAGAAGGGCTCCAGTAGCTTCCTAAATGCATCCTTGACAGTATGTATGTGTGTGAGTAAACTTTGGATTGATCTCCAAGGTATTCAGGTAGTGGATGAAAGGCATTGGACTAAACACATGGCTCATATTTTCCTTATAGTTTAAATAATACGTAGAAAACATTGAAATTGTGAAAAATTGGAATTGCTGGCATTTAGCCTTCATATACAAGACCTCAGCTTTATGCACATTCTAGTTTATAATGAAATGGTTTTAATTGTCACCCACCATAAGAAACGTTCACCAATGTTATCTTAGAACAGACTTGAGAGGGAGTCCCAGAGTTGTTAATGCTCCCTGTGAAACCAGACCACCTGTGCTTAAATCTCAGCTCTGACACCAGTTGGCACACTATTAAGTACATTAGATATTTACTCTGTGACTCAGTTTCTTCATTTGCACAATGGTATAGTAATATTAATAGCACTTACCTGAAAGCTTTTTTTTAGGGTTAAAGGAGTATGTAAAACATTTAGGACATTGTCTGGCATATAGTAAGAACTATATAAACTTTCTCTAGTTACAAACTAGGCTAAAGCATATTTGTCTCTAATAGATATATCTATTTATTTGTATTTGTGGAGTTATATAGTGTTAGAAAATTATATTTCAATCATTGAGTTTAGTCTCTTCCTCTGGGCCTTAAATATTATCTTTGAAATATCCCTTATCAAAATTACACTTCTGATGTTTCTAAAATAATTTCCATATACTAGTGCAATCTGTACTACTGAATACAAAAATACTGAAATCACAACACTCATTATCAGTGGTGACAGCTGGTGCCATTGCTAGGGAACTATATGTGTAGTCAGTGGAAGATGGAGCGAAGAATGAACTGATGTGTTAACAAAATTAGCAAACAACATTATTTTGCGTCATCTGATTTTTTTCAAATTGATGGACCACTGGATCATAGTCACTGTAAGTTTCAGGAAGATCATGTCATACCTTCATTAAAACATATACACGATACCACTCCCACCACCAAAGGTCTAGTCAGCACTCGTCACTATCCAGTTGA